ATATCTGATTACTCTTTTCTTTAAATTTCTATATATTTCCTATAAAATCCAGCATCATTGTATATGGTCTATGAGCTGATACAGAAAGTGTGTCTTTGTAGGGAGAAACATCAAGGATCATGTTGAGGAGGTATGGATGTGGACTACGATGGACTAAGTAGGCAATAATTTCTATAGGTTCTATATAGGTAAGTACAAAAAAAAAAAAAAGATACAAACCATTCCGCCACAGCCTCCTCTATTCATCTGGGTTCAATAATTCATTGCAATGTCCACCAGAACTCAGATACCATACTCAGAGTTTTGGGTTTATTATGGAAGTTAACAGGTTACAAATTTGGGGTCAGAAATTGTTCAGGGCACAGTTCTTCCAGTCAAGACAGCCTCTCCTCATCAATGTTTACACACTGACCTCTTTCTGCCCAGGTATTGTTACAAAACTTCTTTTCAGGCTGCTGATCAATGTTTGCAGGACACATCACTCACTCATATGCCTCAGACTGAAGGCATGCTGCTCTAATTCTGTGGGTCAGCAAACGTAACCAAACCTCCCCTTCAATTAAGTGTCTGCAGGCATCCCACTCTGCAAGGAAGGCTTCGGCCTAAAGTCACTCAGCTTTACTTGCTCTGCGGGCTGGGCAGTCCCCTATTCTGTCTCTTGTTCTGGTTCTTGGTTCAGCAGCTGTTGCTGCCCCTTTGGTGTCACAGATTTATGTATTTGGGTTAAGGAAGTTCCCTGCACAAGCATCTTGGGGATTCAAAGGATACACTCTTCTCCTGGCTCTTCTTTGATGGTAGTAAGATCCCCTCCTTCTGCCTCTTAGATGGCTTATTTTATACCCATGCTGGAGTTTCAAGTTTTTACAAATATAATTAACCTTTGTTATTATCCACAGCTAATTATGTCATCATAGCAATATCTTTTCCCACATCTGTTACTCAGACCCATCATAAAAACAGTGGTTTGGTGGCAGTTATAAAGACTAAGGTTAGATGAGACATATTAAATAATTCACCACAATCCAATAAGCAATATTTTTAACCCTCCCAAGGAGTAAAGACTTCTTGCTTACCTATATAAAATGCATAGAAATATTTATGAATATTCACAAAGAAAATAATTGTACTCTTTCATAAAACAACAATAAAAAAACCCCACTAGAGATACAGTTCTTTAAAGCTGCCTTGTATTTATTTCAAGTTTTCATTTAAGACTCTTGCCTAATTTACAGATGATATCAGAAGGGTAGATGCTTTCCCAATAATAATAATAGGTTTCAATATTGTTTCACAAACTTTTGTCAGATTCCTTTTATTGCATTTCAATTTTTGTGAACTAGCTGAATTTAGGATTTGTGATGTTGGGATACTGTTTTTTTTTAAGTTTTTACTGTAAATTATATTATAGTTTACATGGAAGAACATCAGCCTTACATTCATCCTATCATATATCACTTCACTGCTATGATTACAGTCCCCTCCATGCATCATCAAACAACCAAAGGGTATACCCCACAAGCCTGCCCCCTAGTCATCAGCACACAGACCCGCTCCCTCTCTGGGTCCAGAGTCCCCAGCAGCCCCATTTCTCCACATCGTTGTCTCTGCCTCCATCTCTGGCATCACTGCTTCTCTGGGTAGGGTCCCGCTCTCCGCTCTTCTCTCTTGATAGTCCCAGGGACCTCACCTCCTGGACTGCAAAGTCAACTATTTCCCTCCTTTTGCTCCAAAACATCTACCTTTACATTTCCAAGCCTCACAGTCAGTCCTGATAGCAATTATTCACTATAGTACAAGAGTCTTATCCCAAACTCCTTTCATCAGTCCCATCCAGACACATTGGATACAACTCAGTAGAGATTCTACCTTCCCCCATACGCTCTGGAACTAGGCTCCCTCTTGAAACCCTGTAAGTCAGTCACTTCCTTGGGATGTATTTAAAATTAGCTCATATAAGTATTGAAATCATATTCTTGACCTTAGTATTGGTAATGATCTAAGTTTATTAATTGGCTCAGACTAGTAAATAGTGCACAAAAGAGTAATATTTTATGTGCATCATTAGTAAGATACAAATCAATAATGGCACCACATTAGCTCTGGGGTGAGGGTTGTTGTTAGGTGTCACGGAGTTGGTACCGACTCATAGCGACCTTATGCACAGCAGAATGAAACACTGCCCAATCCTGGGCCAACCTCACTACTGCTGCCATGCTTGAGTCCATCGATGCTTCCACTTGGCCAATCTATCTTGTTGGGGGTCTTCCTCTTTTTTTCTGACCCTCCAACTTACCAAACATAATATCCTTCTGCAGCGACTGGTCCCTCCTGACAATATGTCCAAAGTATGAGAGACGAAGTTTGGCCATCTTAGCCTCCAAGGAGCACTCTGGCTGCAGTTCTTCCAAAACGGATCTATTGGTTTTTTTTGGCAGTCCACGGCACTTTCAATATTCTCCTCCAACACCATAACTCAAAAGCATCAACTGTTCTACGGTCTTCCTTATTCACTGTCCAGTTTTCACATGCATATGAGGTTGTTGAAAATACCATGGCTTGGGTCAGGTACACCCTTAGTCCTCTAGCTGACATCTTTGCTCTTCAACACTTTAAAACAATCTTGTGCACCAGATTTGCCTAATGCAATATGTCATTTGATTTTTTGACTGCTGCTTCTGTGAGTGTTGATAGTTGATCCAAGAAGAGTGAAGTTCTTGACAACTTCAATCTTTTCACCATTGATAAGAATGTTATTGGTTCAGTGGTGAGGATTTTTGTTTTCTTTACATTGAGTTGTAATCCATACTGAAGACTGTACTCTTTGATCTTCATCAGTAAATGTTTTAAGTCCTCTTCACTTTCAGCAAGCAAGGTTGTTTCATTGGCATATCTCAGGTTAATGAGTCTTCGTCCAATCCTGATGCCACATTTTTCTTCATAGAACCCAGCTTCTCGGATTATTTGCTCAGCATACAGTTTGAATAAGTATGGTGAAAGAATACAACCCTGTCGCACACCTTTCTTAATTTTAAACCATTCCATGTTCCCATGTTCTGTTTGAACGACTGCCTCTTGGTCCAGGTATAGATTCCTCATGAGCCCAATTAAGTGTTCTGGAATCCTCATACTTCGCAATGTTGTCCATAGCTTATCATGATCCACACAATCAAAAGCCTTTGTGTTGTCAGGTGATTAGTGCCCTAGAATTTTTATTTTGGAATAGTCCAGAGTAAATTGTGATACTTTAATGCTCACTGAAATTAATTTTTTTTTAAACTGGCCAATCATGGGGATTACTGTGGCTACAGAAATGGAAGAAGCCTTTGAAGCAGTTCCTTTCCTCCCAGGAATTTAAGGATCCTAATCTTGACTCCTAAGGAGCTCTGGTAACCTAGTGGTTACGAGTTGGGCTGCCAACCTCAAGGTCAGCAGTTCGAAACTACCAGTGGTTCCACGGGAGAAAGATGAGGCGTTCTGCTCCCATAAAAATTTACAGCCTTGGAAACCCTGTGCAGGGTCACTATGAGTCGGAGCCGACTCCAAGATACTTAACAACAACAACAATCTTGACTCCTAAGGAGCTCTGGTAGCATAGTGGTAACAAGTTGGGAAATAATGTTAAGATGCTTGGCTGTGTGTTGAATTTTGGTTTCCCTGGCATATCTCTATAAAACAGACACTGGAGGGGGAGAGAAAGGAATAACCAGAAATACCACCATAGAAAGCTTGTACGTCTGTCTTCTGCCTATAACTGATTGGAATACCTAAAATGGGGCTACAAAGTGCCCAGTGAAGGAGGCTTCCTGTGGAACCTCTGCATTACATAAGACCATAGGTGGAATCTTGAACAGCATCCGGAATCTTCTGAGGGGAAATTTCCACTTGAAAGGACAAGCTGACCAGCCTGGAGTGGCCAGAATAACAGAAGATACTTACTGAAAGAAAGACTGACAGGAAAAATACAAAACAATACAGACAGGCAGACTGATTACTACAAGAACAAACAAGTGGCTAGCCTGGAGACATAAAGGCAAATGGTCAGGTCCCCCTCAGGGCAAACCCCCTTCTAAGACCAAGGCTCAATGGGAATGCATGCTCTAACTGGTGACCAAGATCCTCACTGATAAGGGGAAGTGAGGGAAAAACAGCAATGAAACTGCAAGCTAAACCCTACAATGCTCAATAGACTCCTGTGAACCTGAATGGAGACCTGGTTGGCCAGCAGTGTGCCAAGTCCAGGGGACTCTTGGGCCCAGAGTCAGTGACATATCCACAAAGGACTAGAGTGGAGAGTGAAGCATCTAGATGATACGAAAAGAGGGCACATGCATAAGTACACTCACACTTGCAGATAATACCCACTTGACCTGGCTTCAATGGCTGGATGATCAGAGTTCAAACAAGAAAGAAGAGGGAAAAAAGAATAATCTGATACAATTTGATAAACTTGACATACACCTATGGAAGCAGTAGCTCAAAAGAGTGAACAAATCTTCAGAGTGAGGATCATTCCCACCTCCTCCGCAAACAGAGAGGACAGGGCTGGGCAACTTGGACATTGGCTACCCAGAATGGGGGGGGGGGGGGGTTACAGAGGCAAGAAGTGACTGGCTTACAAGCTTTCAAGAGGGAACCTAGAGCCACTTAGTTAGCATTTAGTGATATTAATTATATTCTTTGAGTTGTGTAAACAGTCTCATCTTTCTTTTCTGATTTGCTTTTCCCCTCTTAATATGAACTCATGAGTCCTGTTGTGGCACTATGGGTTAATGTGCTGGACTGCAAGGTCAGTTTGAACTTCAAGGTCAGTGGTTCAAACTCACCAGC